CTAGGGACATATCGAACTTCAAGTCCAACATTTATGTTTAAAACAGGACAGATACAGCCAAGATTACAGCCAATATAAATTCAGTGACTGTTTGGATAGAGTGAGAGACAGAAAAAGACAGAGAGATCCTATAACATCACGCCTAATGAAGTGTCAAGGAAGGATTAAATGGATGGACTTAAAAGGGAGAAATACATTACAAACTGAACTGGAATCCCCTGTAAGTATCTGAGCTTGTGAATCTGATGATATAAAGAAGACAGTAGTCAGGGAGACCTGCCCCCTCACCCCCATCCCAGGCCCCAAGAAGACTTTCCACATCAAGCAGATGTTCACCTGCACATTTGCTAATGTGGTATACTGTATGCGCTGTTCCCGTTGTGGCCTCATCTACATCGGGGAAACCAAGCGGAGGCTTGGGGACCGCTTTGTGGAACACCTACGCTCGGTTCGCACTAAACAACTGCACCTCCCCGTCGTGAACCATTTCAACTCCCCCTCCCATTCCTCAGATGACATGTCCATCCTGGGCCTCCTACAGTGCCACAACGATGCCACCCAAAGGTTGCAGGAACAGCAACTCATATTTCGCCTGGGAACACTGCAGCCCAATGGTATCAATGTGGACTTCACAAGCTTCAAAATCTCCCCTCCCCCCACAGCATCCCAAAACCAGCCCAGCTCGTCCCCGCCTCCCTAACCTGTCCTTCCTCCCACCTATTCCCTCCTCCCAACTCAAGCCCCACCCCCATCTCCTACCTACTAACCTCATCCCGCCCCCTTGACCAATCCCCTCCCTAACTCCCCAACTACACTCACCTTTACTGGCTCCATCCCCGCCTCTTTGACCTGTCTGTCTCCTCTCCACCTATCTTCTCCTGTATCCATCTTCCATCCGCCTTCCCCTCTCTCCCTATTTATTTCAGAATCCCCTTCCCCTCCCCCATTTCTGAAGAAGGGTCTAGGCCCGAAACGTCAGCCTTCCTGCTCCTCTGATGCTGCTTGGCCTGCTGTGTTCATCCAGCTCTACACCTTGTTATCTAAATAATTTGTAAATGTTTTTCAACTCTTCTATTTCATGCTCTTTGATAATTTAATAGTTCATATCTGCCTTCTGAATTTCCTACCACAAGCCATTTCTGATTTATCATGCACCCCTCTGCTATCTATACGTTTAACCCACTTTCCCTAATCAACTTGTTCAGACATGTTTATATACACCTCTGGAGCAGGTGGGACTTGAACCCAGGTCACTTGGTTCAGGAGTCAGGACACTATCTCTACACAACAAGAGGGCCCTGTCTCCATCATTAATGGATATCTTTTTCATTATTTTCATCTGTTCTCTTATGTTGTCATTCATCCAGAGTCACAGTCATGTTTAGTTTGTCCTTCGTTCCAGTAAATATATTTTCTCAGTTCAACTCTGTTGAACACCTTTGTTAATGTTTCCTAGTGTTGTTCTGCATCATTTGCCAACATAACTGTCCTTTTTATTTTACCAAGTTCTATTCTCAGCCCCTCAAAATCAGTTTTTCTCTCATCTATTAACCTGGCTTTCATTATACCTATCTCTTCTTCTATCATTATATTAAGATCACTATTACCCAGACATTCCCCTGCTTTCAGTGAATTCTTCAAAGAATTTCCAAATATTAACAGCATATCGAAGATTTGATAAAAGCACCCCGGAAACACTCTTCGATAACAAGGTGTAGAGCTGGATGAACACAGCAAGCCAGGCAGCATCAGAGGAGCAGGAAAGCTGACATATCGGGTCTGAACCATTCCCCAGACTGGACCCTCCTGGAAACTCTCTTGACATGCTTCAAGAGACCTCTTTAAATGCTCAATAGTAAATGAACATAAATGGCTCTAAATAGCATTTGAAATTCTCTGCAACTAGTTTACTCCTACTCAGTGGGTTGCTATTAAGAAAGGGAGTTAGTTCACTTGCTATTAATAACATAGATACACTACATTCTTGTTCTTGCTGATGATATATAGCTAACTGGGAATGCAAGCCGTAAGTAGGCCATGAAATGGGGTGAAACTTGTATATGTTGATGTTCAGAGAAACTTGGGTGTACTCATTCGAGGAACATGCAGTTAGAATTCTGGTACAGCCATCAATTAGGAAAAGAAATAGTGTGTTGACCTTTATAATAATCGTAAAGTGTTTGAAGTTTAAGAGTAAAGATGTCTTCCTACAGTTGTACAGAGCTTCGGTAAGACCATATCTGGAATACAATGTACTATTTTAGCCTCCAAAAGAAGGATACACTTGATTAGAGGCAATGCTGCAAAAGTTTACTAAATCGGTCCGTGGGATGAGGCTCAGTAAATAGTGCTTATAATTCCTGGGATTTAAAAGAATGAAGGGTGATCTCATTGAAATATTCAGGATGATGAAGGGGTCTCACAGGATATATACTGAGATGTTAATTTTTTTTAACAAATTTGTTTAACCTATTTTTCCCAATCAACCTGTTCAGACATGTTATTGTACACTTCTGGAGCAGGTAGGACTGGAACTTGGGTCTCTTGGTAAGGACACTACCACTTTGCCACAAGAGGACCCCACTGAAACATTGTTTCTCCTAGCTGGGAAATCTAGAACAAGAGGGCACAGTTTCAGGATAAGGGGCTAAAATTAGGACTGAAATGAGGAGACAATTCTTCACTCAAAGGGTGAACCTTTGGGATTCTCTACTTCAGAGAAATGTGGTACATTATCATTTCTATATTTAAGGTTGAGGTAGAGAAATATATTGGTGCTTCAGTGAATTGTGGGAAACGGGGAGTAGACAAAAGTGGAGTTGAAACCTAAGATTAGCCACATTCACATTGACTGAGGGGTCAGTTTGCTGCCTGATTGACTCTTACTCCTTTATTTTACATTCTTACTGTTAAAATGTCATGCAGCCTCACTAACAAACACAATTGGCAGTTTAAGAGCCAATTATTAATCATCTGGGCATCCAAGCATCACACATACACACACACACTTCCAATTCCTTTACGAACACTGTATCTCACATTAAACTGCTGTTTGCAGCTCAAGATTTCATCTTTGCCACTGTAGAGATTTATTAATACCCAAAATATTTGGGTATTCACTCCCAGATCATCCACAGAAACGGTCCATCACTGGAAACAGACAGAACAGCTTTGACTCATTTTTACTGTATTGGTGGGCAAGCAACAGAATTGTTTTCTTCTCATACAATCAGTTCCAATGCCATTTCAGCAGTACCTCATCATAATCTATTAAGCACAAAAAGATCCTGCCAGAATTTTCAGCCCACGTTTTTTAAAAAAATAATGGAATTGTGCTTTGATGACACCTTGTGGTACAATTATGTTTTAACTGTTCAGTATTCTATCAGAGATGAAGACAGAATTTATCATACAGAGTCAGTTTCAATCCTGCAGGAGAAATAAGACATCAAGCAAATGAATAGAGATGACAAGGTGTAGAGCTGGATGAACACAGCAGGCCAAGCAGCATCAGAGGAGCAGGAGAGCTGACGTTTCAGGCCTAGACCCTTCTTCAAAAATGGGGGAGGGGAAGGGGATTCTGAAATAAATAGGGAGAGAGGGGGAGGAGGATAGAAGATGGATAAAAGAGAAGATAGGTGGAGAGGAGACAGACAGGTCAAAGAGGCGGGGATGGAGCCAATAAAGGTGAGATAACAAGGTGTAGAGCTGGATGAACACAGCAGGCCAAGCAGCATCAGAGGAACAGGAAGGTTGACGTTTCGGGCCTAGGCCTGCTGTGTTCATCCAGCTCTACACCTTGTTATCTCAAATTCTCCAGCTCCTACTATCTCTGATACAATTTTAACCCCAGTAAAGGTGAGTGTAGGTGGGGAGTTAGGGAGGAGATAGGTCAGTCCAGGGAGGACAGACAGGTCAAGGGGGCGGGATGAGGTTAGTAGGTAGGAGATGGGGGTGGGGCTTGAGGTGGGAGGAAGTACATGTTAGGGAGGTGGGGACAAGCTGGGCTGGTTTTGGGATGCAGTAGGGGGCGCGAAGATTTTGAAGCTTGTGAAGTCCACATTGATACCATTGGGCTGCAGGGTTCCCACGCGAAATAGGAGGTGCTGTTCCTGCAACCTTCAGGTGGCATCATTGTGGCACTGCAGGAGGCCCAGGATGGACGTGTCGTCTGAGGAATGGGAGGGGGAGTTGAAATGGTTCACAACTGGGAGGTGTAGTTGTTTAGTGCAAACCAAGTGTAGATGTTCTTGCAGGAACAGCACCTCATATTTCACTTGGAAACCCTGCAGCCCAATGGTATCAATGTGGATTTCACAAGCTTCAAAATCTCTCCTCCCCCATTTCTGAAGATAGGTCTAGGCCCGAAACATCAGCTTTCCTGCTCCTCTGACGCTGCTTGGCCTACTGTGTTCTTCCAGCTCTACACCTTGTTATCTCAGATTCTCCAGCATCTGCAGTTCCTACTATCTCTGAAGCAATTAAATACCTACGTTTATAGATACCTCAACCTCATGGTGTTCAACCACTTCATAGGTCTAATACCAGATTGTTTACCCACTCTGCTTTGTCAGAAAGAAGGCAGCAACCAATGTACCAGACAAGCAGTGGCGTAGTACAAACACCTCAGCAAAGCTGTTCACTGTTAAATGTGGAACAGAAGTCGCTGCTCAGCAATTGTACACACGAAAAATGTTGTGGATCCCATCCTCCACATTGAATACCATTGTTTGGACAAATTCATTAAAAAATATCTATTCTAAGATACTAATAGGTCTCTCGTGAGACAGTATTCGTCTTCCTATCTCTAGGCCAAGCAGTTTATGTCTCAACTACTCCAAAAAAAAAACACGTGCCTCAACACCAGCTACACTCAATACTGCTTAATATTGGATCAGCAGGCATTGACCCCGCCCATACCCGGAAGGTCAGCGGGAGCCCCGCCTCTACTTTGCGTCTATTGGTGAAACCATGCCAACGGCGACATTTTCTCCGTGATGATTGGCTGGTTGTGTTGTCAATCAGTGAGATGTTACATTTCCGTTGTAGCGAGTAGGGCCGCTGCGCTGTGTCTGGGAAGGAAGTGGTGGGAATGGTTCGCTTCAAATCCAGGTAATTCGGATCCGCTCCACTTTTAAACTTGGAGGGAGTGCTCCTGCGGGAAATATAGACAGTTCAACTGTGACTAGCTATTCACCTACTTTTTCATTACTTGAGGTGTAACGGCCCTGCAATAGACAAAATAGGCGACAAGAAGACCTTTAACGTGTCTTTTTTTCGCTGCTAAGTGAGACAGTTCGTTTTGTTCGCAGCACTTTCTCTCCGCCCCTTCCCTAACTCCCTACCGGTGGTGATTGTTTTCAGGAACCTAAGTTTCTGGTGTGTTAGATAAGAGCCCCACTGGTGAGGGGTGAGTTTTGGGTCTCACACCACAAACTGGCAAGATGCATGGACATATTGAAGTCTCTTGATGAGTCAAAGTCTATGGGGAGAGGGGAAGAACAGAAAATGTCAACGGGTCAAGTAGCATGTTGACATTTCGGGTCCATGGCCCCTCATCAGAGCCAGCCCGCCAGGTTTTATATTATCTATTCTCTAACCCCTGTATCTCAAAAGTCTGAGCACAACAATTTTAGATCTCAAGAACACTTTTATGATGCATTAGTTGAAGCCCCATGAATGTCTGATTAACATTTTGTTTTCTTAATTTATGTTGACGTGCTTTGCATTGCTTATTATTCCTGAAAATTTAAAATAGTGTTTAAAGAAAGTCTGTGGAAACACTACAGATGCTCCTGTGAATCGGCGAATGCTTTCACGTATCCAAGAGCTTGCTGAATGTATCAAGATCCAAGTGTTTATCAGAAAACCCTTGCCTTTTCTGGTGTACTATGTCCAATTCTGGTCGCTCTGTTATAGGAAGTATATTATCAAGCTGGAGGGGGTTCAAGTAAAAAAATTACCAGGATGTTGCCGGGAAAGGAAGGTTTGAGTTATAGGGGGACTTTTGATAGGCTGGAACTCTTTTCACTGGAGTGTAGGATGTTTAGGGGAGACTTCCTACAGAGTTTTAAAATGATGAGGGGCATAGATAATGTGAGTGTCTTTTTGCTAGGGTGGTGGTATATTTTTAAGGTGAGAGGAAAAAGATTTTTAAAAAACATGGGGGCAACTTTTTTTACAGCAATTAACGTGTGGGTAAACTTCTAGAAGTGGTGGATGTGGGTACAGTTACAATGTGTGAGACTTTAGATAAGTACATGAATAAGAAATGTTTGAAGGGATATGGGCCAAACATAGGCATTTCAGTTTGGGATTGTGGTTTGGTATGGACTAGTTGGACTGAATGGCCTGTTTCCGTGCTCTTTGTGTGAACAGTTCTAGGCACCACGTTGTAAAATCTAAAATCTGTTTAGGATAGAGAGCTAGATTTGTGACAGACAGATAGATATGTGAGAATGACAGGGAGCCTCTAAAGGTTAAATTATGAGGAACAATTACACAAGACCATAAGATGCGGAAGCGGGCTATTCATTCCATCATCTGTTCTGCTTAAAAGTAACTGCCAGGATTTCCTCTTAAGCTTGTTGCTCAAGTGCCTCCTTCAGTCTAGAGAAGATAATGTTGTGAAAGGTCACTTCTGCAAGTGAGGGGTGTGTACGTACGTCTGGATATTTCTACTTTTTATTTAAAGCTCTTAATCAATGAAAGGATTGCTTCCAACCCAATCACAAGGTCCAGGCCAAAGCTGAGGTGGCTTTGTTTCCTCCTGACAAACATTTTTTCTTTGCCACAATGTGGCCTTTAGTAACCTGGCTTTGGAGATGAAGTGAATGTCATGCTAATTAGTGTCTGCAGACCTAGCTTAATCAGTTGATAAGGAGAGAGCCTGGTACACATTGACTTGCTAGGCAGGAGGCTCACTGGTCTACACACACAAAACCTGACTTAAAGAATGGAACTATTTTTTTAAATAACTGATTATTCAGTGTGGGGCATGATCACAGCTCAGAATAGCCTAGATCTAATGACCTAGATAGAGTTCTTTAAACATCCACCTTTTAAAACTAGTCAATGGATCACTTGGCAATAAGTCACTTTAGACTGCACCACAAATTGATTTAATCAGTAAATGATATTGTCCAATTTTTTTGAAGCAATCATCTGGCATGCATTGTTAATGTCTGTGCTTGTACAGCTGATTATTCTGAAAAAGCAACTGTTGGATGAACTCAGCTTTGTGTCAGCAGTGTCCCTCCAACAAAGTAAATGTCTGGTTAATCTTCATGGTCAAGGAAGGGCACTGGGGTTGACAGCAGTCATTAGTTGTCAGCCAATATGATGTAAAGGTGGGTGAAATAAGACCCTATCAAATGTCCAAGTAAATATGATCGCTCTATTTACAGGTACCTGCTATGCGAGATAGTGTTCGAGAATCCACAGTTTCGGCATTGTATCGAGGAGAAGAATGTCTATAAAACAGTTAAAGACGCAATCATTCGAGCACATGGTGACTTTGGACTTGGCTGTTGCTCATTATCCCTGGCAGGTTTGTAATGGAAGGTCCACAGTAATAAAACAAAATTGAAGGGATCTAAATACAAGATTTTAGTGAAAAAAGTACATCTCATTGTTTGAAAAAGTGCAAGACAAAAAAATTCAGTTATTTGCACATCTGCAAGTGGACAATCAGCATCCACTTGTGGAAATGATAAATTGCACAATTTCTAACTCACACTTTGTGGGAATCTTCAATGGAAGAAACAAGTGAGTTACAAATTGTGCAACTTCTAACTCACTCTGGTTTCTTCTACTGAAGATGCCCACATCCCATGAATGAATAAATTTGAACTGTGCTGGACTGGTATTCTTGCCAGCTGTGTTTAATGAGGGAAGAGGAGAATTTCAAGCAAAATAGTGGGGAAAAGAGACCAAATCTTTTTTGTTTATGATATCTTAAGGCAAAAGAGAAAGGTATTATTGCAGAAAATGATAGACTGAGGGAAAGGATAGACAAGTCAAAACAGACTAGAATTTACAAAAATTAAAGGCTGTGTTACTGAATAAATGTATTTGGGGGAAAAAACAGATGAATGTACTTATTTCTATTTACACACTCCAAACTGGTGGCCATTATACACATGGCTGCAGGATGACAAGAAACCTGAATCTTGAGTACAAGGCAGTTGGATAGTACAGGAGACAAGGAAAAAGTGGAGGGTTGGCTGTTTGTTAGTGATATTAGCCTGAGGGGGATATCCTGAAGTCAGGATGTGGAAACATTTGGTAGAGATCAGAAATAACAAAGTTACTTGGAGTTGAGTACAGGCCCCTTAACAGTAAATACACAGGGTGGATCAAAGTGTGTAGGAAGGTTTGATGATTGAAAGGGATCTTAATCCATACACTGACTGGAAAAGTCTCATGGGCAAAAGTCACCTAGAGGAGTTCAAACAAACTTTTTTGGGATAGCTTCTTAGAACATTTTCACCAACATACGTGTGCAGGAGCTGATCAGAAAAACACTATACTAGATTTGGTATTAGAAACCTAAGAAAAGGAATAGGCTATTTAGCACATCAACCCTGCTCAGCCACTGAATGAGCATGGCTGATAAACACTGAAGCACCTTTTACACACACTATCCCTGTAACCCTTTCACATAACTAATCAAATCTACCAACCTCAAATACTGAGCTTCCATGTCTCTCTCTCTCTCTAGTACAAAATGCTAAAGCCCTCAGTACAAGAATTTCTCCTCTGTCCTACAGGGTATTTCCCTTATTTTTAAACTGTCCCCCTGGTTTGAGACTTCACAACCAGTGGCAACCTCTTTGCTGTATCCATTCCTTTTAAGACTTTTGTAGGTTTCAGTGAAGTTGCCTCATTTCTCAAAACACTGGAGAATACGTGCCCAATCGGCCAGTCTCTCCTTTTCAGAAAGTCCTGCTATCCAGGAACAAGTCTAGTGAACCTTTATTGCCATAGTCGGTGTGCAACAACATCTTTTGTGATAGAGATCAAATCTGCATAGTAGTCTGGGTGAAACTTCTGTATGATTGAAGTAACATGTCACTATTCCTGAACTCAAACCCTCTTGCAATAAAGGCTAACATTACATTAGCCTTCCTAATAGCATGCTGTACCTGCCTGTTAACCTTCAGTGACTTGTTAACAAGGAAGCCAGGTCCCTTTGAACAATGACTTTCCAACTCCAACCCCACCCCCTTCAATTTAAAAAAAATCTACACTGTTCCCCCTACAACAGGGGACAACCTCATCTTTCTACATTTATAATCCAGATGTTTTTGCCCACTTACTAAACCTGTCCAAATCTTTCTCAAAACACATTCTCCACTTAAGTCGATCATCTGCATATTTGGAAATATTACATTTGGTTACCAAGTCCAAATCCTGATTATACAGTGTGAAGAGTTGGGGGGCCCCCCAGTACAAATCCTTGTGGTATCCAGTAGTCAGTATTCCAAGGAGGGAAGGATCTGTTTATTCCTAGAGTGGATGAGAAAAAAATCCACATGAGTACATTACCATCTATCTCATGCTATGATTTTGCTAACCAACCTACTGCGGGGACATGTATACGACATCCGTTGCCCTGCACCTCTTCTCAATTGTTAGTATAATTCTCAAAGGCACAGCTACCAAGAGGTGACAAGAGGAAGCTACAAAAAAAAAAATGAATGGGCAGATATGGGCTAAATGGGGGTGTATAATAGGGGACAACTTCCCATTTGTAACTGGTGAAAGTTTGCTAAGCTGAGATGAAGAGGGAGCTGGGTTTCATAGTGCATGAATTATAAAAAGGGTGGCATACTAATACAGCATTTAACTTGACAAAACTAATAGAATACAAAAGTAGGGAAGTTTTTAACTTGTTTAAGAGCACTTGTCACATCTAGACTCCCCTGTGCAGTGCTAGTCACCTTATTTAAGAATAAATGTTAGAGAAGCTCTTTTGGCTCATTGATAATATGTTTCCACTGGTATCAATGGTGATGCAACAACCATAGACCATTTTGACTCTTCTGTGCATTTTTCCACTTCCATTCATTAGCTATAGGAAGATTAGAAATAGAGCTGCTGTTTGTCTGGTCTTAAAGGCATGTGAAGTCTCTAGGAATACGTCCAACCAGAGCTGGCCTTGAAAGTTGAGTTCAGTCTTTTGACTCTTTAGGTGTATTGTGCTCAAATTCTTCTTCTCACCCAGCAATGAGCACTCCTTGATGTTTAAATAGTTGATTAGCAGCCAGTGATTGTATATAATTACTAAGATTTTACACTTGTTCTCTGCTTGCTGATAACTTCTGTCCTGTCCTACATTATGTTTAAACATTAGTGTTGCCTGTTACATTCAAAAACTATGCAGTCAAAGGGCATTCCTATAAAATAACCCTATGCATCTAGTATCTGTAGTAAATGTACGAGTTCAGTAAAGGTTTCTTTTCCTATTCCTTTGGATGCTTAACCCTGAATTTCTGGGAAGCAGTGATCTACAATATAAAGCAAGGAATGAATGCACTGAACATTGCTGTAACAAACAACTGGGAGAACAAAATTAATCACTATAATTCCTTTGCAATTAAGTGAATTTTGGAATAACTGACTCATCCACTTCAGCGTGGAAGAGCACAGAACATAACCTATAAAACTCAACTAACATTTTTCAGTGATTATCTTGTCATGCAACTGTACATTAGCTTCTTCGAGAAGGACAAAGAACTAGGTAGGTTTTTTTAAAGAGTAAATAAAGATTTATGGTTTTTACCCCAGAAATGTTGACTTCTTTAGTCATTCAAGATTTAGATTTTAGATTAAGACATGACCAGGAAAGAGGAGTGATTGTACTTTCAATAGATCAAGTTGTAAGGGTGATAAAGCAGATTGAAGACTAACTTCGAAAAGAGATTGAAAATACACAAATACAGGGTTACAGGCCTCCCTCCACATCATTGAGAGAAAAGGTGTGGAACTTGAGATTATAAGTGGCCTTTATTTAAAATGGAAGCCAATTAGACTTGTCCCAGCCCTTTTTTTATTTCTAGGGTTGAGTAATTAAAAGTGCAGATTTTACTTTGGACCGTAGCAAGCCATAGCAAAAAAAAAATGAACAGTTGACATGAGTATTACTGATCTTTTTTTCCCTCTTCTCCCAGTCAAGTATCTGAATGCCTACACAGGGATAGTCTTAATAAGATGTCGGAAAGATTTCTACCGACTGTTATGGTCTGCCATGCAGTTAATCACCTTCCTGGAGAGCAAGAACCAGAAGTATCCCTGTTTCTTCAACACATTGCATGTGGGAGGTAAAAATGCTGGAACTTTTGATGCAGAATTAGCTATTGACTTGTTACACCTGTCCAAGTTGCTAGGTTTGAGTCTAATCTCCTGGCCCTTGCTTTTCAAGCTTTTGCCTTTAAATCACATTAACATAGGTGCAGATATCGGTTTTAAAATGTGTCCTTAAGACTTCTAAATGCACTAATGAATTCTATTTTTTTTCAGGTACTATCCGAACCTGCCAGAAGTTCCTCATCCAGTATAACCGCAAGCAATTGCTGCTACTCCTGAAAGACTGTAAAACCAAAGGTGAGAAATTTTTTGAATTGGAATTTTGCAGATTCCCATTTCCACCATCCACTTTCAAAACAATTTAGTTCCCTATTAAATGCTGTGTTTAAAGGATCACCTTTAGATATTCCTCCAATAGACAAAGGGACCTCTGACCTCAGCCAAATTATTGGAAGTAGTGATGTAAGAATCAGACAGAGGTGAGACATTGATCAAGCCTGACTAAAACCACTTGGTTAAATCTACTAAAATGTTGACTAACTGTACTTATGACATTGTCACTTAGGTGCATTGACTGTTTTCTTTGCTAAAGAACAACAATGGCACAGGTGTTAAGGGAAGGCAGTGGCCTAGTGATATTATCGCTGGACTGTTAATCCAGAGACCCAGATAACATTCTGGGGACACGGGTTCAAATCCCACCACAGTAGGTGAGATTTGAATTCAAACTATCTGGAATTAAGAGTCTAATGGTGATCATGAACCCATTGTCGATTGTCAGAAAAACCCACCTGGTTCACTAATCTCCTTTTAGGGAAGGAAACTGCCATCCTTACCCGGTCTGGCCTACATGTGACTCCAGACCCACAGCAGTGTGGTTGACTCTGAACTGCCCTCTGGGCAATTAGGGATGGACGATAAATGTTGGTCTAGCCAGCAACACCCTCATCCCATGAATGAATAAAGAAAAATACTTAATTGCAACCTTAAGGTATAAAAAACCTCAATTTTTGACCCATCCAAACAGGTGCTTTGTGTCTTTTCACCTTTTTGTTCTGTTTTCAGGGGAGAGGGAATCTGTTCAAAGGTCTATCTTGAGTTGTTCACTGAAAGAATTGGAGCAAGATCAATTGAAGTACCAAGAAGAGGTGACAGAAGCAGATGCAAATCAAGTTTTATGAAAATAAACTGCAAAACAGCAAGAACAGCACTGTGGTAATTGTTCCACCTGTACAATCAAGATGTTTTGGTGTGAAACAGTTTAAGATTGTGTAATCTTCAATTCAGATTTAGGGCTCACACACACCAGATGCAGATGTAACACCCCAAACCATTCTCTGCTGTTAACTCCTGAATTATTTTCATTAGGACAGCCTTGTAGTGGAAAAGAGAATTTATTAGCATGTGCTGAAGTGATTAAAAGTTAATCCAGAATGGTACTTGCTACTGGATGCTGATCCTTGTGGGCATAATCTTAGAAATGTAAAAAGCTGGCACTTCTTTAAACTACTGCCAACCATTCCACAGCAACTGAGTAACCTTACTGGGCCATCTCTGGGGCTGTTAAATAAATTATGTTACGGTGAGTCTAAACCACAGCAGTTAGCAAACTTCAATTCAATTAAATAAAACTGAACTACACTTACCATCAGTAATAATGATCATGAAACCAAAGGATTGTTAAAAACCCACCTGGTTCACTATGTCCATCAGGAAAAGGAAATCTGTCATGCGTTTCTTTATTGGCCAAAGTGCTTGATTTTTAAAACTGGCTCTTTGAAACAGCCTAATAAGCCATTGATTGTTAGGCCAATTAGAGATGGGTGACTACCGCTGATATTGCCTGTGATACATTAATGAATTTTACATGTTATTGCTTGTTGTAGTTGGTGATAATAAAGGCTGTAAAATTGGCTCAGCTAGTAAAACTCCTCAGTCAGATACTTGATGTATCAAACTGCCTCCACAACCTGAACATCACTTAGGTTAACAATCTGTGCATTACTTGAGCATTTCAGACCAAGCGTACAAAATCAAAGATAGAATACTACCTTAAAAAAATAGGAAGAAACTAGTAAACCATTTCTTCAATACTGCCCATGAAGCCACAAACTTAAAAAAAAGCATTTTTCAATGCAGTTGCTCAAATGTACATTTTATAAGCTTACTGTGCAGCTATTAAATTACAAGCCTACATGCTGGAGGACATAAACATGAAATATAATACACAAGTAACAATTTTTATAGTTACAGCTGGGTGTACTCATCTCCTTGTCCTAAGAACTGGAATTTGAGAATGTGAGATGTTATCTAAAACCTGTGCTTGTACCACAATTTCAATTGCAATACAGCATTAAAAATATTAAATGTTGATGGTCATGGACAGAGTTCAAAAAATATTGGTGCTTAAAAGGGAAACATCTTTCAATAATAAGTGGTCATTGTTTCAATGTATTTAGAAACAAACCTGATCCTCTGGCTCAGAAGGTAGGTGTATTTTGCAAAGGATTTTATTTCATCAGTTTATGGCAATTAGGTTGGTGGTGCAATGGTACCGTTTCCACCTATGAGCCAGAAGGCCTAAGTTCAAGTCCCACCTGCTCCCAAGGTGTAATGACAGCTGAGCAGGTTGATTTTTAAAAGAAATCTGTGTCTGCTAAGTCCAAGAGAAGAGAAAAGACAGGAACGTGGCCTTGTGTAAATTAATTTTCTAGGGCAGATATGCCAGGTTTGACTTAAAAGTTAGTTACATATTCCCTCAAACTAAATGAGATCTAAAACACCCAATTACATGGGAGAGAAATCTGGTTATTCTAAGTGGTTTCTTCATTAGCTTTGATTTTCCAGAACATACAGTAGGTATTGACCCATATCTTCTCTTCATGGGTAAGGCAGAAAATGAACAACACGCTGCACAAGGTTCTTTTATTGCATCTATTACTTTGCTGTTGCATGAAAGAAAAGTGAAGGGTAGAAGTAACAAAGCTGAACTCAACACTTCATTAGATGCTTGACAGTCACTTTTTTAAAAAGATACTTTTCAAATTAAAATTTTCAAAAAAGGGAAACTCCAGCTACTGTTAATTTATATTTTGCCACCAACAGCATAACACTCGACATAACCTGGTTGGGAGTGATAATTACAGGCCCATCCAATGTGTTTATCACTAATGGATTAGTGTGATTTTCCGAGGTGGAGAATATTTCGCAAATCTTCAGTGATATTGGTTGAAGGGGTAAGAGGAGCCAAAACACCACTTACTAGCATAATAACATATTAAATGAAAGAAAATCAAGTGCCAATTATTTACAAAATAACTGCTTCTGAGGTACAGGGTAATAACAGCAAAAAAAAAAAAAAATTCATCCCCAGTGAACGTCTACACAGAAGTAGTTAAGCTGTGGATTTGTTTGGAATTTCCCTTGTTTAAAAAAATTCCATGTCACAAGCTATATGAATTGGTTATGGTGTTCAACCTCAAAGCTGTGAAACCTGCATTCAAACAGGAGGCAAACTTTCTATGACAAACCACTCAAACAAATGCCTTTGCTGTAATCTTCCAGGTTTGAAATACAACCAAAAATTTTTAAACTATAGCAGCAAATAAACAAAATCATTTTTGCACAGACAGCAATGAATGCAAATACAGGCAGTGGCTGCCTGTGGTACTGAAATGGGTAAGATGGGCAGTGAGTGCCTAAATTACTTTGTGTGAACTACTGAAGTACTGAAGAGCAACGTCTGCTTTTTTTTCTTCTTTTTCCCATTCCTCTCCTCTGCAAGAGAAAAGGACCCATAGTTAGAGGAAAAAAGCACACAGATCCCTATTTTTAAAGTTGATTATTTGCTGAATATTCTGTTCACTTCATTGGTGCGCTGGGAGCATTATTCACCAGCTTTTTGTTTTATAGATTGCTAAACTAACATCACTCAAGCCAGAGTAGCCAAGTGTAGGGTGCAGATTTTGAAACAAAAATGCAAATTATTTTTGTTTTTCTTACAGCTACTCAGCAAGTTCTGATTATTCTTACAATATACATAAAAGATTCTCACTAGTCTTAGTGCTCTTTCATGGAAATAGGCAAACAAATAGAATTCAACTGTATTACCAAAGGACTAAATAGTGCTGTCATTACCCAACAGTATGTGATGACTTTTTCATCTGCAAGTATTAGTCAAATTATCTAAGCCACTAAATAGAACAACACATCATCAAGTCCTGGAACACTCACTTCCCTTGAGACAGTTGGAGTCCAGGTCATTGAATATATTCAACGCTCAATTAGCTAGATATTTGGTCAATAAGAGTTATTGGATGCAGACAACAAAGTGGTATTCAGGTCACAATTAGATCAGCTGTGAAACTATTGAATGGTTGACCAAACCGAGGGGAGCCAAAGGGGCTAATTGTGTGTCTTGTGTCAAACCACTTTTGCATTTGAAAACAAGTAGGAAGAAAAACTTCCATTTAACTTTAAATATTAAGATCTGGCTTGCTGCTTATTGTGAAAATAAATAGGTATTTTGTTCTGCAAAGTGCTAGTTGTTTATGAGTAGACATTAACTAGTGACTTACCCTAGCCCCATAGACAGATTAAAACTGGTTGTGGGGTTAGGTGCACACTTTCAATGTGTAATTCTAAATATAAAAAACATGTGAAGATTGACGCCAATTCTACCCTCCACTAAGTGGCTTTCTGCAGTATTACAGAAGACAAATACATAAACAGTTGAAGCAGTGTAAGAAAACTACTGCTTTGTATTTATCTATCTCTACCAGTTCTCAAATCCTGCAAGGACCGCTTACAAATTAATCACAGGCTTTTTGAATATTCATGAGACTTGCTGCAAATGATGTACAGTATGCCATCGCATGAAATATTAATACCATTGAATTAGGGAAGATACTTTATCTTCCTTATTCAGAGAAGAATTTAAATAAATTACCACAAAAGCAGTAAAAGTCTCTCCAAACTATTCCAATGCTCCCCTGTACTTAGTCTAAAACAGTACTGGCAACAATCTAAGCATAGTATGTCCATCCACAGTCCAAGACTTAAATGAACAACCCATACTGCTAAAACAAGCACAATTTTAATGTTACAACAATACAGCATTTCCTAAAATCAAATTAATGTCAACATATTGATTAGCACTAAGTCAACCAACAACTTCCACTTTTCTCCCTCCCTCTAAAGAGCAGCAATCCATTCTTACCTGCACAGAACTCTGGGCCTGGAACTTTATCAAGCTTGAGGAATGCTGCCTCCATAGCCTGACTAAAGGAATTTTGAAAGCTGGGTACAGGTACACGGTCTGAAATATCATTCTCTCCATCACTATCTGCTGCAGGTGGGGGCATCAAACTGGTTTCTGCTGTCAAAACAATTTCAATCAGTACACCAACCTCCATGTTAATGTTAAGATGATCATTAACACAATTAAAGTCTTGTTAAATGTTCTTTTTTTAAAAAAAAATCACCTTTTCTTGGAGTTACTTTGGGCCACACTTCTGCCTTAGCCTTCCCATCCTTCAGCATCTGTGAGGAAGAATATACTCAGTACTGGTTTTTAAAAAAACTTGAAGAAAAATATTATGTCACAGGACTAAAGAAAAACAGATACAAACCAGAGGAAGAGAGATTAGGTGGGTATGGTGAAAAAATTTAGAAGCAAGTTTTAAAGAGGATCTTGACTAACGATGGAGATAGAGCAGAAGGCTTTAGGGAAGAAATGCACATTACAGAAGACCATGAATACTGGAGAAATTGACGGATAGGAGAAAGCTGAAGAGACAGGTTGAGGAAGATGGAGACCATGAGGGATTTAAATACAGAAGGAACTTAAATTTGAGGCACTCTAGTATCAAGAGACAAAAGTAGCTGAGCTATGGTTTGTGGGGGTGCAGGAAAGAGGTACAGCAGTTGAAAGAGACCAGCCAATCTAGAGGTGACCAAGGCATGAAAAACTGTTTTCAGCAACTGACAGCTTAAGTAACAGCTGAGTGGGCAGATTGATGATTAAAGTAAACCGCCTTTGTGATGATAGATGGAGCTAGAAATTCAGAATCTAACAAGGCAAAATTACAAACAGACCACGTCAGAGACAGCAGACAAAACATGGAGTGGAACTGGTGACAAGATAGAGATTTAGCTTCATTCAAGAATGATTATCTGGAGGAAACGGCAACTCATCCAAGGCAAGATGACTGACAAGCCGACAACACAGGCAGAGGAGTCAAGAGATGTGCTGGGAAGGAGTAGAGCAGATTTCCTCAAAGCATTCAATTTTAATAAAACAATTAAACTTCACCCCAAGTTACTTTTTGTAAAAATTCCATGAATCATCTCATGTAGTTAAGATGGTTAGCAGTTGGATGAATCTAATCAACGCAAATGAGATTTAGAAGTGCACCCTAACGGCAGGTTACAACTTTGTGGCCGGAGTGTAACATTGCTTTTCCTTAATTGTCCATACTGAAATGGAACTATTTCTCTTAACCCTTCTCAAAGTAAACAGGCTGCTCCCAAATTCCCAGATAGTTAGAGGAGGTCTATAATCCTCAGAGCTCATTACTTCTGTTTCTTGAGAAATTAGTAAAGTACACCACCTGAAACCAACCAAATCCCAATTTTAATCTTGGCTGGTAAAAGTAATTGGTGCACACTATGTTTTATTCAAAATCTACTCACAGCAAGAGTGCATTATCCATTTTCACCTCAAGTGAAATTACCTGAGCAAACGAGGGAAAGCATGCATCATCTTCCAAGCTGCCAACACACGGAGAAGGACTCCCTGGGCTAAAAGCAGGGACGGATTGATTCAATGCTGATTCTACAGGAAGAATTAAGAAGTGATTCAGAAGCATTCACTTCGTGCAGTTCCAACATTTCCAGCTAGGTTAAAACATTACAAAAAAAGAAATTAAGCATCAATTACAAGTTAGGACATGTCACAGATGCCTCTTCTCAGTAACTACATCATTCATATCAGGACAAATACAATTCACTCCAAGAATTTTGCCAAACCCCTGTTTTCAGTTCCTGCCTCATTTAACATTTCATGTAGAACAAATTGAGATTCAGACTGGCTAGCTACTTATCAGCCAGAGGTAAAACTTTCACGAACCTAGAACTGCAAGCAATGCATTCTCTCATTCTGTTCCTTGAATGCTCAAAGTTCACACACTGAAGATATGAAAATTCAATCTCCTGTGAAACAAACACCACATATTTTCTAATCAATCTGCTAAGATATTACTACACCTCTGGAACAGGTGGGACTTGAATCAAGACCCTCTGGCACAGAGGTAGGAACAATACCACCACACAAGAGCCCTTAAGAAAACACTATGTAAGGATTAGGTACAATTCAGCTGTGAATTTGTTATTCAATTATCAAGGTTTTACAAGCAGCACCACAACATCACAAATTTTTCCACAAATCCCTACTTGTCCACTTTTCAATTAAAGACAATTAGCATTTCATAGCCTTAAAGATAAACACTGCAAAAACTAGTCTGAAACTAAAACTTTAAGATTCAACTTCTTTGCTTAGCAGCCTCATTCAACTCAGACCCAAAATGGTAGCTTGACCACCAATGTTTCAGTAAAACACAATATTGGATGTGAAATCTGCAAGTCATTTCAATTTTGGAAAAATAACCAATTTCAGATCTTATGGCTCATGTTCAGAGAAAGAATTAGCCGCACAACACGAAACATCCATTGTTAAAGTCTTTTTTTTAAAAAAGGATGCCAGACAAGACTTGCCTGCTGAGAAAATATGCATGATGGGGTGACACCACTTCAACGAGTCATATTCATGCATCTACAGCAAATTTTTTTTTTAAACCCACAAGTGTGGTAGAATTCCAAGTATTGACTTAATTACACAAAAATATAAATTAGCAAGTTCTCAATGTATTGATATTTAAATTGCTGTTATCCTGATACCAAAGGCTGCCAGGGGTATATTACAAGTATATAACAATACAAACTCGGCTGGAAATAATAACCTTACTTTTTGAAAGATGTATTCCTTATAACTTTTGAGCACTTTAAAATCATAACTTTGTGCAAGAGACTCTAAATAAATGATTCTATTATTACTGTTGCAGCTTTCAGATGAAACAAAACCCCATTACTTATGCCATGCTGTGTCACGGTATATGTTGAGATGCATTGAGGTTAGCGCTCCAACACACCAGAGAGTAAGCTGTGAAACCTGCAGCACCTTTTTCTTTAATATTCATTCATGAGACATGGGCAAAGCTGGCTAGACCAGCATGTATTGCTCAATCCTAATTGTCCAGACAGTAGTTAAGAGTCAAACACAGCATTGGGGATCCAGAGTCACATGCAGGCCAGACCAGGTATGGATAGCAGGTTCCATCCCTAAATAAAATCGGTGAACCAGATGGGCTTTTCCTGACAATCGACAATGGTTTTATGGTCTCCATTAGACTTTTGATTCAAGATTTTTATTGAATTAGAACTTCACTTGCCATGGTGGGATTCTAACCCAGGTCCCCAGAACATTACAGAAATTGTTGGAATACTCCGGTTTGGCAGCATCTGAGGAGAATCATATCAGACTCCAAATGTTAACCGTTTCTCTCTCCACACAATTGAAACAGAATTAACATTTGGAGTTGGACCTATTTATCCCTCCACGGATGCTGCCAGACCTGTGGAGTCTTTTATTTCTAATGGACTGGAGCTGCCTCGACCAAGAGAGAGCCTCAGATTAAGCAGCAGGCCTTCAAGGCGTAAGATATGGAAGAATGTCTTCCCCTCGAGAGGAATGAATCTTTGGACTCTCTAGGATAAAGAGCTGTGGAAGTTCAATCATTGAGTATACAAGAAAGAGGGAGATAACTATCTAGATACTCAAGATATCAGGAATCCGGAGGGTGAACAGCATGAGAAAACAGCACTGACATAGATGGTTAGCAATGATCTCAAATGGTGGAAAAGGCTCAAGGGGGCTGAATGCCCTAAGTTCCTATGATGCAAGGCAAAAGGAGATGGTGCTGAGTAGGAAACAAAAGATGGATCCAGGGATATAAATAGGTTAAATAAAATCATTTCCAACAGCTGACTGAAAAATAAAGGGACAGGTTATCATGTGGCATCATGGAATTCAATATTGAGTCCAGATGCTGTTAAGTGCCTCATTAAAAATTAGTGTTCTTCAATTTGAAGTTTGTGCTTCACCTACAGTGGTCTAGTGAAGCTCGAGATTGGAGCGGAAATGAGGCAGAAAATTAACAGACAATCACAAGTTCATAATCAGTCCCTCAGGCTAAAAAAGTGGGTCACAACATAATCAGTGAATTTGCTTGGAGTCTTTTTGAGGAGACCGCTATGAGCAATGGAATACAGTATACAGAACGGAAAACGGTTGCACTCTTGACTAGAATCCTCAGCTTCTCACATGGGAAATGGGACTGAATGGTTTGTGCTACAGAGCCAACATGGACTTGATGGGTCAGTCAAATAGCCTCCAGAACAGCAAACATCTTTTCACTGGACATTTTACAGCCTTTGTTTCAACACCAATTTCAAAAGATCTAAACCTTAGTTACTTCCCCAATTTTCTAGACACTAGCTCTGGGTGTTATACTCCCTTCAGACCCACTATTGTTTCTTGTTTCACTGCCATTCCCTTTGCTTTGCATCATCCCTTTTGTCATTTCTTCTCCCTTGCCTTACATCTTCGCAGACATTCCTTTTGTTCTTTTACCACAGCTGCCATATTCACTTGCTCAAAGCTTATTGTCTCAAACATTTTTGACTTGAAACATTTACTTTATCTCTCTCCACGGATACTACCCGAGCTTAATGTTCAATTAATTAACATCACAGATAGAGACATATAGTTGTGCAATATGAATCATGAAAGTAATCTGAAATATGTTTAAAAAATTCAGAGCACTTTTTCCCTCCAAGGAAACCTTATGTAGAATAGAATTAAAAGCACAATTTAAGCTGACAATCTGCTGCATATTTCAAGTCTTGCATTATTCCAAGTACTGACACAGTTGAGCAATGATCACCATATCTGTCTGTTCAGATGGGACTTGTAGAACATTCAGTATGGTTTTTATGCTGTCTTGGCCAACACTGATCAAAATACCAAAATTGTTTAAATGGGTATTCTTCTTGACAAATCTTCCTCTATACAAAATTGGTACCATGTTTGCCTGCATGAAACCAAATATCAAATAATTGTATAGCTGTTCAAGGTATGTGGTAAGGCACCACACAAATGGCAGTTTTTGAAAGAACAAATATTTGCTTTTAAGACTAAACTTAGGTAGAAATTTCCTACCTGCCAAAAAATTGGGGCTGCTAAGAGTGGCGTTGCCTGAAAGACGACTTGAGGGCAGAGGATCAGCATCAGAAATGTTTGGGGAGACAATGCTTGGTACAGTTCCTAAAGATGATCCACATGCTGGGAATTGCTGGAAATTTTCCAAGGCAATGTGAACTTCTGGGTCTAAGAGATATGAAAACATATTAAAGAGCCAGTGAACAAAAATTACATTTGAATTGAAAGGCAAATGGAGGGGAGACAGATGGCTCACATTTGCCTTGCTTTTTATTTTCTTCCATTTCAATTTGACGTTCTCTTCGACGTTCATCTCGAGCTTTTTTTAAGCGAAGACATCTCCTTCTGTTCAGATCCTCTGTAAGGAGAAACACAACCTCAAATTTCAAAGCACAAGTCAGTCAATACAAGCTTGATTCACAAAGCAGAAACAAACCTGAAAAAGCTTCCAACGTTTCCTTAGAAACCACAGGGGGCTTCAGAGCCAGCTCACAAATACCAAACTCGCAGGTAAGAGGTAGATGACACAAATAGCGGTGTCTACGGCGTACTTCCTGTGGAAAGAGATTCAAGCAGATCATAAATGCACAACATACTTAGATTTAAGTACAGTAAGCAAATTGATACCCCTTGCACGGACTCAACAGGCAAATTCTCCACACACAAGGAGCTTCAACCCACGATTTCTGCTAAAAATCAGCCAATTTCAGTTGGAACAAGATACTCCTGAATTTTTGGAATGAGGGACTAGGACAAAAGCGTTCCAAAGGTGAAGGTTTCTGAAGGCATTTTGTTTTGACCTAATGGTATGTGGTGGAAAATGCAAGCAATACAATAAACCATTCAATGCTAGACGCTTAAACCTCTCAACTAGTAGGAATGCCACATTCACTTTAGATATTTTCAGTCAACCTGTTCAGAGGTGTTATGATATCTGTGCAGCAGGTAAAACCTGAAACTAAGCCTCTTGGCTGAGCAGTAGACACTACCACTGCACTAGAAGGGCCCACAATTCACAATGAAAACACTGACAATCAAATGATATCCATGTGAATTTCTCAAATTAGTGGGTAAGAGGAGAAAACAGTTCATCAGAATGACATTCACATTCTCATTTGCCATCTCAATAATACTGTTTCACCAAGGGTGATGGCAACTACCCAGATGAGATCAGGTATAAAACTGCATTATTCCACACAACATCATGAATTTATCCATTAAATTCAAACAAATTCTGTACAACTGGTGAGCTCATGGAAGATATTGCAAATAGAACCTCAACTCTTTTTCAAGATGTTCTACCTCTTTAGTAACTAAAGTACTAGAAGAGATTGATGAGCAGGTTGAGCTTTTTCTTCAAGAACAGAAGCTGCTGGAAAAGCTCAGCAAGTCTGGTAGCATGTGAAGAAAAATCAGTTAATGTGTCGGGTCCAGTGACCCTTCCTCAGAACTGATGGTAACTCAGAAAATGTCGGTTTATATGCAGAAGATAGGGAGGGGGTAAGGAGTAAACGACAGGTGGGGATAGAGCCCAAAGAGAGAGAAGAACAGTTGAACAGACAAAGGAATGGATAACGATCAGGCTAGGAGAGTGAATAGCTGTTAATGGAGACTGTTAGTGGCTAACAATAGGTAGCATGTAATGGCAGGCTATGTGATAACAAGGCCTGGTGTGTGGGGTAGGGGGTTAGGACATGGGAGAGTTCAGGCCCTAAAATTATTGAACTCTATAGAGAGTCCAGAGGGCTGCAGGGTCCCCAAGTGGAAAATGAGGTGTTGATCTTCCAGCTTGTGCTGAGCTTTGCTGGAACACAGCAACAAGCCAGAGCTGGGAGTGAAGAAAGAGTGGACCAGGGTGTCCCGGAGGAAACGGTTCCCACAAAAGGCGGACAAGGGAGGGGAGAGGAAGAGGATAGGTGTCTGGTGGTGGCATCTTGCTGGAGGTGACAGTTGATGATCTTCTAGATGTGGATGCTGGTGGAATGGCAGGTAAGGACAAGGAGAACTCTATCACTGTTGTGGGAGGGATGAAACAGGGCGAGGGCAGATGTGCAGGAGATGGGTCAGATCCAGTTGAGGACCCTGTTAACAACAGTGCTGGGGAATCATTGGTTGAGGAAGAAAGTGGACATTTCAGGAGGTTCCCTTGTCGAAGTTGGCCTCATCGGAACATATGCAACAGAGACGGAGGAACTGAGAGAATGGAATGGAGTCTTTACAGGAAGCATGGTGAAAGAACATATAGTCCAGGTAGCTGTGGGAGTTGGTGGGTTTATAGGGGATATTACTGGCCAGTCTATTCCCAGAAGTGGAAACAGACATCAAGGAAGGGAAGGGAGGAGTCAGAAATAGAAAGTAAGGCCATGGTGGAAAATGAGCGAATTTGATAAACTTTTCCAATTCAAAAACAAGAGAGAAGCAGCACCGATGATATCAGTACATCGGAGAAAGGAATTGTGGGTGGGGGCCGGAATAGGGCTGGAACAAGGAATGTACCACATACCCCACGAAGAAACAGGCATGACTGGGACCCATGCAAATACAAGCTTTTTTCCTGCCTGACTTCTGCTGTTGCTAAGATTTTACAGTCAATTACTAAGGATGAGATTGCTGAGTACTTGAAAGTGCATGGTAAAATAGGGTTGAGTCAGCATAGCTTCATCAAGGGGAGGTCAGGCCTGACATATCTTAGGATTCTTTGAGATGGTAAGGAGCAAGCTAGACAAAGGAGAGTCAGTGGACATGATCTATTTCAAATTCCAGAAGACCTTTGACAAGGAACTGCACAGGAGGCTAAATAAGCAAAGAGGCCATAGTGTTAGGGGCAAAGTACTGATACATTTAGACGATTGGTTGACTGGCCAAAGGCAGAGTGGGAATAAGTGGGTCTTTTTCAGGATGGCAGCAGGTGACTAGGGGGGTTCAACAGGGGTCAGTGTTGAGACCACAACTATTCACACTATACATTAACGATCTGGACAAAGGAACTGAGGGTATTGTTGCTACATTTGCAGCTGTCAAAGACAGGTGGAGGGGAAGGTAGTGTTGAAGTGGTGAGGCTGCAGAAGGATTTGGACAGGGTGGGAGTGGGAAAAGTAGTGGCAGATGGAATACAAGGTAAGAAAGTGAGGTTATGCATTTCAGTAGGAAGGGGAGGCATAGACTATTATCTAAATGGGGAAAGACTTTGGAAATCTGAAGCACAAAGGAATTTGGGAGTCCTAGTTCAGGATTCTCCAGGTTAATATGCAAGTTCAGTTGGCAAGGCAAATGCAATGTTAGCATTCAAAAGGACTAGGATACAGACTAGACCACATTTGGAATATCACGAGCCCCGTATCAAAGGATGGAATGTGCTGGCATTTGGGGGGTGGGGGGTGGTGGTGGTGGAGGAGAAGACGACCCCACCCAGAGGAGGCTTACAAAAATGATCCCAGGAATACAGGGCTTGTCATATGAGCAGCAGTTGAGGTCTCAAGATCTGTATTTGGAGTTTAGATGGACGAGGCACCTGAATTGAGTGGATGCGGAGATGTTTCCACTTGTGAGAGAGACTTGGACCCAAGGGCACAGCCTCTGAGTGAAGGGGTGAGATGAGGAGGAATTTCTTCAGCCAGAGAGGATGGTGCATCTGTAAAACGCATTGCCTCATAAGGCTGTGGAGACCAAGTCATTGAGTGTATTTAAGACAGTGATGCTTTGGTTCTTGATTGGTAAGGAAACAAGGGTTACAGGGAGAAAGCAGGAGAAACATATGAGCCATGATTGAATGGCGAAGCAGACCTGAAGGGCCAAATGGCTTAATTCTGCTACTCTATCTAATGATCTTTCACATATTTAGATATTACTACTAAATGATAAAGTAATCCAAAAGAATAAAAATCAAACCTTAATGTGAATGCCCAAGGTCTACTGAATTCTAGATAAAACCTTTCCAATCTAAGTATCACAACAAGCATTACAGAACCAATTTCCAAGGTCATAGTCAATGTTTGACTTTTTAAGTACTGATTCACTCAATCTGGGCATTACAGGCAAGGGAAGCATTTACTGTACAGCCCACCCTAATTGCCTTCAAGATGCTGAGCCACCTTCTTGAACCACTGCAGTGAAAGTGAAGATAATCAGTGCCTTTGGATAGCAAGTTCCAGGACTTTGACTTAGTGCCAGTGAAAGAATGGCAATATATTTTCAAGTCAGGATGGTGGGGCTTGGGAACTTAATTTACAGGCAGTGATGTTCTGAAATGCCAGAGACCCTTGAACTTCATGGTAGTAGCAGTCACAGGTTTAGAGATAATGTTACGCATTTTGCACATGGCAGAAACAGTGCCATTGGTGTAGGGAATAACTGTTAAAGACTTTGCATGGGATGTCAATCATGAGGGCTGCTTTGCCCTGGGTGATGTTGAGCCTCAAGTTCTTGGAACTGCTTCAGACATGTAGCAAGAATTTCATTATACTTCTGACCCGTGCCTTCCAGATAACGGTAAAGCGTGAGACACTGCAGAGTCAAAGGCTGCAGAATATCCCATTTCCACTTGTAGCCACAGTAATTACATAGCTAGTCCAGTTAAGTTTCTGATCAACTTGTCACCTCTTCAGGCACTGAACAGGGGGCTTTTAACAACAGCCATGTCACAAGGTTAAGGTAGGTGGTTGGCCCACTTGGACATTGTTACTGACTGCAATTTGCCTGGCACAAATGTTTTACTCTCTCATCATCCCAAGTCTCAATTTTGTCTTGCCTCATGACCAGAGGCATGAATAGAATTGAATTATACGCAATTACTTGTTTTGAACGTTCTGAACTGAAAGTCAGTGATGAAGCAGTCATGATGCTTCAGCCTAGACAATGCCATGCAGAATTGTGTAGTGATGCCTGGGGCTGAGAAAGGCCATTATATTTTTCATTAGAAAGATTCCAGTTAGTCTAAAACCCCCTAAAACACACTCAACAATTTAAAAAAGATTCCTTGATGCCATATTGTTAGATACTGTCTTGACATCAAGAGCAAGTCTCTGGAATTTGGTTCCTTTGTCAAGATTGCAATGATGAATAGTGCTGAATGCTCTTAGAATATCAGCAGCATTCAAGTTATTGGTAAGGAAATAGTGTTCGGTAGAATCAATGACCTGTTTCCATATTACCGATTAAGAATGGCTTGAGCAGCAGCACAGTGGCTCAGAGGTTAGCACTGCTCCCTCCCAGCACCAGGGACCCGGGTTCAATTCCAGCCTCAGTTGGCTGTCTGTGTGGAATTTGCACATTCTCAGTGTCCGCGTGGGTTTTCTCAGAGTGCTTCAGTTTCCTCCCACAGTCCAAAGAAGTACAGGCTAGGTGGATTAGCCATGAAAAATGCAGGGTTACAGAGATAAGGTAGGAGAGCGACTGAGTGGGATGCAGTTCAGAGAGTCAGTGTGGACTTGATGGGCTGAATGGCCTGTTTCCACACTGTAGGGATTCTAATTTGTAGTAGACTGGTTGGGCATGGTTGGCTGTGTAATTGGCTGCAATGCTTTGCCATGAAACTAGCAAGAGAATGATCTGAATAATCTTCCCCTTTGCCACCAAGTAGATATCAATGCTGCACCTGCATAGGAACTGCTTGGCTACAGGCAAGATCCATTCAGAAGCACAACTGTTAACATTGTCACAGATACATTAAATTACTTGATCATAAGCTTGACTGGCAGTCTTAAGCTTTTTTTCACGTTGATCTTGAGATTGCTGGAGCTCAAACATTCAAAAAACAATTTCAACAAGTAGTGCCAAACTGGGAATCTCAGGGAAATTAGCACATCAAGTGCAAAAATATATGGTTGCAGTGTAATCCAAGACTGTAATTAAGGTATTAATGGGACAGAGTAAACAATGTCCTGTAACTGCCTGTATTCAACTGTTACAATAGCATTGGATGCCAAGGTTGAAATCCAAAAGTAAAAGAATGCTCCAAAAGTGAAGTCCACCATGAGTACAAAATATTCAAATTTATAAATTTAAATGCAAGTTACTCTACCTCAGTCATTGAATGCCCAACAATCTCCACTACTGTTGCAGTGATCTTCTCAGGACATTTCTCCAGGCTACCATATTCCCTCACCAGACATCGTACATTAACTGGGCTCAGAAACATATATTGCCCATCCTCAGCTGAAAAAGGACAAGGGAATTAGTCTTGCAGAAACAAAAAGAGAGAATTTAAATTGTCACGATTTCAGACTAGTTCAACAATTCAGTCATGTTTATATGATGATTTAAATAACGGTTTTTTGAAAAGAAAAACATCAGCATTTACCTGATATCATTCAAGCAGAAGGCTCACCTTGGTAATAATAGTAGTAAGTTGTTTCTGAGCTTGGTCTAGTGGCCTCAATTGAAGGCCCATTTTCAGGTTCTCCACAATTAGTTCCACAAGCTCCTGTTTTGTCACTGCTGATTGATTCAGGAACAGTAATTGGCTCATCCACCTCAGTACATGCTGCAGCAATGGTCTCCTCTGGAGATTCATCAATAATTTCATCAAATGCAGACGAATAAGCCAATACATCCTAATGGAAAATATTCAGACTAGGTCAGATTAGATTTCAATATATCTTCACAACCGGCAGTGATTAAACATCACAAAAAACTTCCTCAATATTCAGTGCTAAATAAGTAAGAATTACTTTATAATAAAGACCAAGCCATTATATTTAGTCTGTCACAAACTCAGTTGTGCAACCGACTCGCTGGCAACTAAGACTGTACCAGGTAGCAGTCCAAACATTACAGCTGATTAGATGAACTTCCCACCATACATCATTGGCAGCACTAACACTACCCAAGTCCCAGTGCATCTGCTACCGAAATTGTCATTCATGACTGTTACCTCTGAAGTGGATGGATGTAACATGAGATTTGAACACATGGAAGGCCCAAAAATCATGAAACAGGGATTCATTATTCCAATTGCTGCAAACAGGAAGGAAAGTTAGGAGAAACTGGGAATTGCTTACAGTGCATACCTATAATAAAGCCTGTGGGCTACAGTGGGTTGAGGAATCCTTTGCTTAATATGCTCCCCCTTCCCATCATTCCTCCTTCCACTAAAGGCAATTTTCTGCCCATTGAGAGAATGCTTCAGATGCCCTCCAAAACCATCACAACCCAAACTGCTCAAACTCCCCACTCAGATGCCCTTGATCATGTTGCCACGTGTTGCTGGCGGTCTTGTTACACTTTCCTGCAAAAAAATGCCATCCTGGCAACTACACATAGCACGGTGATTCCCGTGCTGCTAAGCAGTTGATAGATTAGCACATGCAATGGCATCGTGACGGCTTGAATGTTCAATTTATCAACAGGCCGTTCTTGCACCAATCAATCTGGGCAAGTAGTGATAGGGTGGCATTGAATATTTGCTCGAGAAGACCTTTACAGCCTCCATGTAACAGTATCTTTCAAGACATCCAGGCTCTATAGCAGACTGCCCACATTGGGGTCTAGATCAGTCAGGACACACTCCTGACTATCCTCCCACCTTCTCCCCTCTGGAAACTTGTCATCCAAAACTACTAACCATGATCAAACTTTTATCAATTTCTATTCGTTACTCCATGTTCCCTGGCCTATAATGGCTTTCTGTTAAACAATACTTACATTAAATTTTATTTTTTTTCAAACACCCCACCCTTCCGCCAATGAACACAAAAATTAAAACCAGCCTGCAACATTGGTACTAACTTGGTTCTTGCCACTTTTGGTGGTATTCTCTCCAGATGCTGTTGAATCAGCAACGGTCAATTCCTCAAATTTAAATATTGCACCAAGAGCTTCCTTCCCTGGAGTAGGACAGCCCAGCAACTCTCGCTCTCGATTCTGCAATTTAAAAATCCAATACACTCAGCTTGAACTGGGATTATGATAACTTCACTACAGATTCAGGCTAGTAACACTTGATAAGGGTACTGGTTACTACACACAAACATTTAACATAGCGAGCTCCAATTACCTTGTTCAGGTAGCAGGGTTAAGACAGGAGAACCTCCATCTAACTCTCACTTGTATCATTTGAACCAATTTAACAGGTATGAAAATGCAATAAAACTGTAGGAGAAAACTGCACCAAAAGAATCAGCTAACATTCCTCAAGTGACTGCATCAGTTCCTCTAATTGTAGGTCAGAAATCAGTGGTTTTAGAAGCTGCATATAACACCTAAAAGGTCTGACTTTTCAATACCTTCTGATTTTCTTGGAAAACTGGGGGGACTGGGAAAATTACTCAACTAAGGCCTTCAAACTTTGGAAATTTAGCAAAAAGCAAAGATTCTCTATCATTTTTAGATCAGCAAACCAATATCAATTTTTAAATTCTGCTTGGCTCTTTACTTCTATAATAGAACATAGTTCAAACTGCAAAGGGAATATCCCACCTAATGCTATCAAACACTACATGGCAGGCCCCACATTTAACTCTAGCATTCTGTAGTAATAATTAAACCTTTGGTACAACTAACTTCTCTCATTTCCTGATCTAAAGATGAAGAAATTAAAAGACCATGATTCACCGCCAGTGACAGCACAAAGTTTAGCACTGTTCATATGTACGATCAAATAAAGCCCGTCACCTAAACAATACTACCCACACAACAGAAACAGTCAAAGGCAAAAATCAGGGTATTACTTCTTTAGTGTCATAGTCCAAATACGCTACCTGCTTTCAAGAGTGAGAAAGAGAACATTAAAACAAAAGCAATCCAGACATTGGTCTCATTAAAAACATGTACCAATGGTAATTTATAATCATTTGGTTTGATAAGCTTTCATTTACAGAAAAAATCCTTAACGTTTATTCCCGTTATATTCAGACAACTTTCAGGGATATTCTACACATGCACAAAGTGACAGACTATTAACGGTAGTTTATCATACCTTGAGCTCTTGCATTGCTGCTTCAATAAAGCAGGCTTCAGGTGTATCTTTCTCCTCTTCATACTGTCTCAACAGGGCTGCTCGCTCTTTATCGATCACATGTTGCAAAACCTGCTGTGTTGTAGCCAGAAGCAGCTTAGAATATCGGCTGTGTTCTTCATCTACTGGAAGTATTGAAATTAAATGTTACCATGTGCAAAGACGACTAAAAATGTCAAAATCATTGAAAATGAAATGTTATTTTATTTACTGCAACACAAGTTGCTTACATGCAACAACTTTGAGCTTGGTGCAAAATAAACTCATTCAAGTAAACTTCCTCAATTCATCAACTTAAAGTTAGAGCCTCCAACTCAATATTTTAGACAGGCAGTATGAGTCTTGGAATATCTAACGGTGACAAAGTGGGATACAGAGTTATGGGTGACATTCTCCGGGGTTTCAAACATGGAAATAAATTTATGGCACAGGAAGTGGCTAGTGAGCTTACTGTGCAATTGCCAGCTTAAAAAGACCTATGTTGTCAAATTCAAGCTTCCACCTCTATGTCCACAAGCCAATAGGTTACACATTTAAAAACCTTAGACATGGTGGATTTAAAGAGGGCCCTTGCCCCTACCACCCTTTTAATCAGAGTTCCAGACCCCAACATTGAAAATAATTCAATTCTACTCTAAATCCTTCCAATTAATCCAAATTCCGATTGTTTCTGTTAGAAAAGATTAATAATCTTTCCTTTCCGTTGTCTAGACCAAATTTTACACAGGAGGCTACAGTAAAATGTTTCATCCCCCTATCCCAAAGAAAACAAATTCAGCCTACCTGCTCTTTCGTCAGCAAAAACTTTGCAACAAAATCCTCTGTACCCATTTGTGCAATCACACTTTCCATAATGTGACTGGAACTGTGTGCAATACTCAATTAAAATTATAGCTTAAATAATGCTGATATAGTTCTAGTCTAACTCTCTTGCACTTACTATGTAGACCTCAATCAGTAAGGAAAATTTCCTGCTTGCCTTTGTGACAACTCCATGATCTGTCCTGCTACCTTCAGAGATCCCTGGACATGTAATGAAGGTCTCTTCCTTCACTACCATTTATTGTATAATTCCTTACCTTCCCAAAATGGGGTGTCTCACTTCACTGCACTTAATTCAATTTGCCACTTATCTGCCCAACTGACCAGTCCATTGATATGCCTGCAGTCTAAGGCTCTCTTCTATACCGTTGAAAACAGCCCCTTTTTCAGAGATTGCAAACTTAGAATCTTACAGTACAAGAGGCCTTTTGGCTCATCAAGTCTGCACCAAAAAAGCTACTCAATCTACACTAGTTCCACCTACCTGCACTTGGTCCATACCCTTGAATGTTATGACATTTCAGTGCTCAAAGTACCTTTTCAAGGCTGTGAGGTTAGTTACCTCAACTACCCTCCCACAGCGCATTCCCACACCAGCTAGCTAAACATCTTGCCCTTCACATTTAAATTACGTCTGTCTTGTTATCAACTCTTCAACCAGTTGAAAAGCTGCTTTCTATGCATCCTGTCCATCCCACTCAATTTTATACACCTCAATCAGGTCCACACATAACCTTCTCTACTGAAGAAACCAAAACAAGATTATCCAGCCTCTGTTCATTGAGACAATGCTCCAACCCAGGCAACATTCAGATGAATCTCCTCTGCACCCTCTCCAGTGCAATCACAAGCTTCCTAAAGTGCAGTGACCAGAACTGCATACAGTACTCCAGGTACGGCCTAACCAAAGTCCTATACAGGTCCAATTTAACCTTGCTGCTCTTACAATCTATGCCACAAATGATAAAGGCAAATGTCCTGTATGCCTTACCTACCACATTAACCTGAACTGACACCCTCAGGCAGCTGCATTTTGGCAAGACAAACCAGGGCAGGACTTGTACAATTAATAGTAGGCCCCTGGGGAGGGTTGCCGAACAAACGAACCTAGGGATGCAGATGCATAGTTCCTTGAAAGTGGAATCTCAGTCAGACCTGATCATAGCAATGGTGTTATTTTATTGCTGCCTCAAACAATTCAACCAAATTAGTCACTTCAGCTCTAAGAGCTGCAAATGGAGGCACCAAGATTTCAGAAGTGCAAAAGTAGTGAGGTGGAATTGGAGTTGCCTGTTCACTGGTCTGATCATTAGTAAAGCTAGTGTAGTGTGTGGTTACTAATGTCAGCAACTACTTAAACTAGTAATATTCAACTGCAAAAAGGATACATCATAGGGCAACAGGCAAGATTGACAAACTTGAAAGGATACAAGAGTTATTACAGCAAAAGCGTAGCATCTCAATTTTATAATTCTACAGGAATAAGGTTACCCATTTTCAGTTGTGATTGCCATGCAGACAGTGCAACAGCCAGCTCAATCACATCACATTAAAACTAGAAATAGTATGTGAAGATAGCCACTATTCCCACTGGTCTTCCAGTATCACCGAAACTGTGGAAGTAAATGAAGTACTTGGGCTCCCTGACAAACCTATGTTACAATATCAATTTTAAAGTTCCTTTTCTAGTATGGAACTAGGCTAATTCTAATCCAAAAGTGTTCCAGCACTTTGAAGTAAGAACATATCTTTTCCTTTTTGGGAATTAGTTCTCCTTATTGACCTTCAACGTGGCTGTCACAGATTACAAAAGTTCAAAATAGCTCATATTTAGTTTAAACCACTACCCTTCCAATTCCACTTCTGAATTACAGATTGCTATGACCTGACCAATAAAAACATTTGTTTGGCATCACTGTTCAAACACCTCATGTGAATTACGATGAAATGCAATAATCTTTACGCAAGTGTTGAAGTACTTTACAAAAGGCTATTTCAACATTTACTCAAATGTAGTTTGCATAGCTCTAGATGGCATCTGCAACATATTTGTGGTTGATAGTTTATGAAGCCATTAGCCTTCAGCTCTTTCCCAACCATCCACAATTCCTTATGCATTCTGGATGACACAACCTAATGCCCAATACATACACTTGTCCAAAGTGGTGCTGAGTGAGCCAAGTGAATTAGTGTTTCCACTCACCTCCCAAGTAAACTGGTTCAACTTTCATCCACATGGATTTGGGTAAAGCCATCAGAACACCCTTCTCTCTACGCATCAACTGCATGGTTATTGTATCCTCCACACTGTACTGATGTGTTTCCATGGCAACAACACTGAAACAAAGCAAAGCTTTGGTCACACCTGCATTATTCATGAAGAGTTCCAATCTTTGATCATGTCTACATTGATATTAAAATGAAGTATGTCAACAGAGAACTTATTGTGGTACCAAATAGAACTACTTTGGAATTTAAAATGATTGTCCACAATTTTAGCAGGATAACTTTTCAATGCCTGAAACATCTGCATGGTTGACTGAGTTGCTTGACACCTGACAGTGCTGCCTTAATTGACTGGTAATACACAGCAACTAAAAGACAAAGAGGCTGCAAATTAATTGACAGACTTGCCCTGAACAAATAAAGTACTGAAGTGGTAAAGATACTCAACAAAAGTTACTCATTCTAGTATAGACCAGCAACTCTCAATAAACAGGATATACTTATTGCCAGAAAACATCAATGTTTTGATAAAGCTGGGAAAGAAATGTTAAAGATAAAACAAATCTCAAATTAATAGTATGGTTTAAGAGCATCAGATGGGGCTCAAAAAGTTCAAAGTATAAACATTATGCACTTTTATATTTCAATCTCACCATCTGAGGGTCATCTAGACATCCTGCCAAGTCAACAAGAGCACCTTGCATAACTTGACAACTAAAAAGCAGGTGAAAATAATCTCAGGCAGCCCTTCAAATAACACAATTATTGATTAGTACAGATAGAAGACTTGCTCCTCCTTTTATACAAAGCATAATGCAATATGGGGGTGCATTCAAAGCTACCAAGGTAAATAAAATCAATAATTCAATTCAATTTCAAAAATATGGATTAGTTAATTTGAATAAAAGATCTTCCATCGCTGACAGAAAAAAACTCACTAAGGCACAAAAAAGCAAAAACATATTTCTGATGAAGTAGTGCACCTGATAAAACTAATGAAACAGCGTCAATACTAATTTCACAGTAAAATCTCAATTTTTGTGACTACCTTCAGTAGACAGATAATTTATTCTTTAAATCTAGTAGTTCTATTGTACCTGTCTAGCTCTTGAGACAAGAGTGACAGATAAAACACAACAAATATGAAAACTTTAAAAGAACATACTTGGAAGGTGCGTAGAACCAGGTTACCATCATAAAGCAATCAATCTCATGACTGAAAGAGATCACAGTCAATGGCATGGCTCTGACACTAAACTGGTCACAGCTTAGGAAAAAATGCTTACTAACAGCACAATTCATCATCTCTATTTTTATTCTTAATACTGACATAAACCAGTGATCATGACCAGTTTCAGTGCAATCTTCTGTACAATTTGTTTCAGGCATGATCACCATTTGACCCACGCTCACCTCTCTCCATGGAACTTAATTTTGAGATATGAATAAGTACTCTTCCATCAAAATGTTTAATCAAAGAGTATTATAATGATTTTTGACTTTGTTGTGTGAAGTCCTCACATGTCCAAGTAGGTTTTAATAATATGTAGAGTGCTACTAAGTTGTCTATCAAATCTAGCAGAATCCAAAATGCATGGAACTTTTATCTTTTTAACTAAGAATAAACTAAACCTACGTGAACAAATTAGTGATTCCAGACTACTTATTACCTTTGCATGCTACTCTATCCTGCACTCCAAGCAACCCTTAACTCCACTAACCCAGCTTGACCCAAAGTGCCTGACCCAAAGTGCCTGACCCAAAATCTGGAAATACCCAAAATCCAGAATCACCTCAGTTGGGGACGCCAGATTTGAGGTACTATGTCCAAATGTTCAGTTACTAGTCATTTATACTAGCCATTTGAAATCAAAGTCAGAGACTTATTATTATTATGCAAATTCTACTACAGGTATCTGTTATAACACATGTTTCATTAACACAAATTGGCTGTAACACAATTGATGAAAAGTGGACACTGTTTGGATAACACAAACTTTCTACTATACAGTATAGCAATTTCCTTATAACATGTTTTTCTATAGCACAAGGTTGCACAAGAACGCAACTATGTTTAGGAGAACTACCTGTATGTGAATATTGTATTAAAAAGTACAATGTGTATCCAATTCTTATAATGAATTATACTTAGACAAATTCATAGCATTTCGCTTGGCATGTTTGCCCAATGCAAAACTGTGTTGGAAAATAGAAGATAACTGTTTTTTTGAGAGCAGTTCTTATTCTCACCTTTTGAGGTCTTTTTTATGTACAGCCTCATAACAGATAGGGCATTTACCCCATGTTTTCTCACTTAAGGAAAGATAGTGAAGAATACAAGCCCAACAGTAGATGTGCCCACAGCGAGTTATCTTTGCAGCAGATGGAGGATACAAGCAGATTGGACACGAAGGAACTTCATGACTACAGATGCGCTAGAAAGCAACGACACACTTTAGCAAGCTGTACTCAGTGTAATTAACACAGAACATATAGATTGACAATACAGAAACAATACCTGATGTCAGAAGTACTTCAAAGTAGTCAATATCTCATTCTCTGTACACACTTCATTATGTTTTCCACTCCTGTACTCATGTACTAATTTACTTCATTATTGAAAGTCACCAAGCCATTTGCCTTAATCACTTCCTGTGGTGGCAAGTTCCACATTCTACCAACCAAATGAAAAAGTTTCACTTCCCTTTCTATTTTATTAACTAGCTTGTATTTAAAATCATTAGTTTGCATTAGAAGCGCCCAATTAAATTTTGAAAAGCTCAGTTAAACTCCAAGTCCTTTTTAATTACATAAGTAGCCCCAATCTGATGAATCTTTCCCAATGTGGAAACTGGAATTATGCACAATACTCTAAGAAATCTGAGCAGGCTCCTAAAGAAGTTTAATATAATTTGACTATTTGAAACCCTAGAAATAATTTTAGGTTGGCCACCATTTTTAATTGTTCACTACTTCTAATTATTTGCTCACCTGTATCCCTAGAATCTCCAATCTTATAGTCTATTCAGTTTATTTTCTAAGATGTGAGTGGTGTTCCTACTTTTCCTACCACAAGGCTGTTCAGTTCTAGCTCTGCATATTAGATTCTACACCTGGTCATCTCCCTACTGACTGCAATCGGAGAAATCAATCTGCTTGATAAAGTTAAATGCCGTCTTCAATGAAATTCAATCAGTTCTCTAGCTTTTTTTTTTAAATCTCAAAACATTTCCTTTAAACTATTTGGGGCCTGGACGATAACTTAGTCTCAAGCGACAGACATGCAGGGAGCTACTACAAAAAGAAACTAAGATGCACTGATATTTCCAAATTCAGAAAGTGTTAGCTCCACTGGAAACTATAATCCAAATGGTTTGGCCTAGAGCTCTTTGCAGACAAATTTCTCAGTTGTGGACAACATAATGCATTTACAGAAATGAAGAACAACTTACTAAAAGGAACTTAAATGGTTTTAAAGTCCTTGGTAGCAAAATTTACTTTTTAATGTCTGTAGCAAAGCTGTTGTTTTCTGCTCTTCAATTCACTGATATTGCCAGTGAAACCAGAATACCTCTCACCATCTTATAAATACTAATACATACCACCTGCTGCACGAAGTCCCATTTCACCAACATATCTGGGTCAGCAAAATGAACACTGTAGTCCTGTTCTTCAGAGACCACAAACTGACAGCTTGAAGAGAAAGTGGAAAATTAATCATTCAAAACCAATAGCTTAAATTAGACAAAAACAAATTACTAGAGAAACTCACCAGGTCTGGCAGCGTCTCTGGAGAGAAAGCAGAATTAACTTTTGAGTCCGGTGACTCATCTGCTGTCTCTCCACAAATTTCTCCAGAAATTTGTTTTTTTTCCAGATTTCCAGCATCCGCAATTTATTTTATTTTAGCTGAAATTAGACTTTGCAAGCAGTCATTTAGAACTCATGATCCTACTAATATTACCTTGTTCTTCATCACGTTTATAGGCCAATTAAAGCTACGTGACCAGAATTTCAGCTGTACGCAGTAATGTCATTAGTTTTGAGGGGCTGACAGTGAAATGAAGTTTTACAACAGCTACCTACAGAAAGCAATACCTGGACTCGGGAACAAATTTTACATTGTCAAGTAACTGCCAATCAGGAAAAAAGTAAACAATTTCAAACTGCACCTTCAGTGGAACTCCAGAACAAAATATATTTAGAAAATATGAACTTCATCCACCCCTCTTCTCTCGTTTCCTCAAGTAGGCATAAAGCACTTTTCCGATCAACAGTATTTGACAGTACTTCCACCAAAGCAGCAGCTAAGTGGAGCAAT